CTTCACGCGCACTTCCCCCACCGAGGGAGACCGAGGAGGAAGGAGAAGAAGAGAAGAGACGAGAAGAGAGGAAGCCAAGGAGGAGAAGACACGAGACCGGGGAGGAAGAAGGCAAGGAAGAGAGGAGACTGAGGAGGAGGAAAGAAAGGAAGAGAGGAGACCAGGGAGGAAGAAGGCAAGGCAGAGAGGAGACTGGGGAAGAGGAAGGCACGGAAAAGAGGAGACCATGGAGAAGGAAGGCAAGGAAAAGAAGAGAGGAAGGGAAAGAAGTACAAGAACATACGGAGCAGGATGAGGAAAAGAGGGCGGCGATCCCCCCCTTTCCGCCCCCCCCCTCCCGAACCCCACCCCCACCCCACACCGTCCCACAAACCACAAACCACCTCCCACCGCCCCCCAAACCACCAAGCCCCCACCCCCACACCCCGCCCCGCCACGCCCCGTGCCCGCCCCCTTCGCCCCTTGGGCAACCAAATGTGAACCCTAACCCCCTGCAGGTCAGATTTCTGAAATGCTGGCTGGGGTTCAGATCTCGAAGGGTGTCTGCAGCCAAGTGAGCATTGGCGGGAGTGTCCCTCACTCCAGCGTCGATTGGATCCGCACGGGTGAGGTTAGCACGTGATCGCAGACCCCGCCGCCCACCCACCCCACAGCAAGGTGGCAGATGCGCGCGGCAGCCGGGGGCCCCCTGCTGCGAAACCGAGGTGAGCCTCGAGCTTTCGCTTGCCGCCGCAGCTTGCGCGACAGCAGAGGCGACGGCTGCACTGTGTGGTCCAGCGGCCAGGCAAACCTTCAGCAACAATGTATGTTCATATCGGGCTCGACCTGCTGGACGCTGCTCGGGGCGTTGGCCGCCCCCTCGAGGCCGCCGCCGACCTGGTCTCGTTCGGGCCAGAGTCTCCTCCTCCTCCTCCTACTCCTCTTCCTCCTCCTCCTCCTCCTCCTCCTCCTCCTCCTCCACCCCTTCCTCCTCCTCCTCTTCCTCCTCCTCCTCCTCCTCCTCCTCCTCCTTCTCCTCCTCCTCCTCCTCCTCCTCCTCCTCCTCCTGCTCCACCTCCTGCCCACGGGCGGCCGCGCGAGAAGGGCGGCACCCGGCGCGCGGCCCCGGCGCTCGCGACGGCGCGCCGTCGTGCGGATCTCGGCGACAGCTCCGCCGTGCAACGCCGCGCGGCCCCGGATCGATTCCCCCCTTGAGGTTGCCGCGCCGACCTGTTCTCGCTCGGCCCGGAGTCTCCCCGATGGCGATCACGGTGTGGAGCTCGGCAGCAATCGCGCTGCGCCTCACTGCTGGGCTTCGGGAGATCGCACGCGTTTTGCATCCCGCACAGACGACCAATTTCAGGGCACGATTGCGCGGTTCGCCATGCAGCGCCGTGCGGCCCAGATCGGTGAATCTGGAGCCATCCGCCAAGTCCTTCGCTTCTTGGAGGCATCTCTTGTCGAAAGCGCTGTCGGGATGGAACTGGGAACGGGAGAGACAGCGGAGGCGTGGGCGGGGCGCGGATGGGAGCGGGAATGGAAGAAGGAGCACGAGTGGGGCTGGGAACGCGGGTGGGACAGGACCCCAAGGGTGGGATCGAGCCTGGAGCGAGGACCCAGCGCGGGAGCTGGGAACAGGGCTTGGGGGGGAAAACAACGAGGACCCAGACATCGGACGAAACTGATTGTTCTGATCCGCGGCTCCAGGTCCCGATCCCTTCCCTGGGAGTAGTTTTCCGCCCCGGATCCACTCTTGGTGGTCCCCGGGCTCGACGACGGGCCTCGGAAACCGAGATCGAGGAAAACGCCCAGATCTAAAAAGACATATCGTCAGAGATCTGGGATGAAAAGGTGCAGCTAAAAATCTGTTCCCTAACCCCTCCCAGAATCCGAAGGCATAAGTTGTCCGAGTTGCGTCCAGCCGCGGCGATGAGAGGTACCCCAAAGGCCAAGTACCGCTGCCTCAACTCGCCCTCCTGCCCCGCCCTTGCCCGCACATGGCGAAAAAATGGCCTTCCAGTGCGGAATGTGCTGCAACCGCAAGCTTCTTTGGAGCAAAAGGACAGAATCCCTTGGGTATCTTTTGGTATCCTCTATTTTCCCTCGTCTTCCCCGTTCTTTGCCTCTGGTGGGAACCTGCGCGCACTTTGCGGCGGAGCCTGGTGGCGCACATCCCAGCGCCCCCACGCTCACCGCCTTCAGGTTCCATCCTGCCCCCTCCTCCCTCCTCTCTTTGCCGTTCCTGTCCTAATTTGTCTTTCGGGGGGGGGCGCCTTGTCGCGGGTGCTAGGATGGAATGTCACCCTCCACCTTGGCACCGAGAAAATACCCCAGATAGGGACAACCCCCGTGTATTCTCGTGTGGGTTTTCGGCCGACACGCCTGGCCCCGATGGGCACTCGTCCCAAAAATGGACAACTGCTGGGTCCGCGGATTCAAGGGGGAGGAGGAGGACGCTGAGGAGGAGGAAGGGGAGGATAATAAAATGCGAAGCAATTGATGATAGGAAATACAGTTTTTGTCAAGCGGATACATACATATATATATATATATATATATACATACATACATACATACATACATACATACATGCATGCATACATACATACATACATACATACATACATACATACATACATATACATATGAAATGACTATGAAGCGGGCGCCCAATGAGATCCCTTGAACCAAAGCCAAGGGACCCGCACATGCCTGCCGGCCTTAGTCACTGCTACGGTACACTGGTAACCTACCGTTCGAACCTGGCGCTCAAGCGGGTCCGTCGCGTCTCGCTGACGCACTGTGCCTGGGAACCCTCTATTGGCAAGGTTCCTTATGCAGAAGTGGCTGCCGCAACTGAATCGAAAGGCTGGCAGCACACTACTGGCATAACACAAAATATTTGATACGTGTGCTCAACGCTCAACGTCCTGCTGCTCCACGAATATCAGTCATGGTAACGAGCCCTCACGTGCTGCTCACTATGTCGCATTCGCGAACATAGTTCGCGAGATTCGAAAACCTTGATACCTATCCCTGACGAAGTGTGTCGCGTTAGCGAACACAGCTCACACATGCGACGCAAAGTGGGTGAACCAGTAGCGTCGCCGTTTTCCCTGTTGAAGTCGTTGCGGTGGGGGCTCGGCACCGTCTTCTCGTGGCGCTCCTCGCTCAACCGCACCGCGGGGCGCGCGCAGGCGAGCTCCCCCTCCATGATGTCGAGGATGAACTCCTGGCTGATACACCCCTGCGCCATGGGGTCGGCCCTCATGTCGAGGGCGTCGCGCCAAAGCATGTCGAACAGCTGTTTGGTGCGCAGCTGGTCTGCTAGCCACATTAGGCGGCCTGCCATGCAATTGTCCGACGGCGGCGGCAAGCGGCCCACGGTCACGGCGGAGACGACGGGCAGACTGTCCACGACCAGCACGGCCGGCCCAGCGAAACCCCCCTCCCCCCTCAGCCTCCAGATCTCAACTGCTGTAGCGGGCCCGCGCAACATCTCGCGGAGCGTGGGGATACGCCTGCAAGCCACTTGCTGATCCACATGCTGCGAGCAGCTCGACTCCGAATGAGGATCTACACGCGCGTCTGCGCGCTCGGCTCACAGCGTCGAGCAAGTGGCAGATCTGTTTACCAGCACTGCGGCACTTGCCCTGACGCAACTATACGGCGGCACGCATGCCGCCTCGCGTCTCCTCCCCACGCCTCCACGAGCCGTCGCTGCGCACGCAGGTCTGCCCCGCGCGCTCCACGGCCAGGAAGACGGCGCACGAATTGATCTTCTGCGTTGCCAGAACAATGGAACTGAGCTGCTGCTCCGAGGAGGGAAACAAAGGGGTCCGGGAGTGGACCTCCGACAGGCTCGTCGGCCATCGACTTGACCAAGTCAACGTGCCCGACGGGGGCCAGCGCGTCGACGCACTCGTCCTGGTCGAGCGTCACTGCGCCGTCAGCGCTGCGGCTTTGGCGGGCGCCGCACTTGGCGAAACCATCGCAATCACCCTTCACGGTGCCGAAGACGCCCCCGACGCGGCCAATCAGCGCGCCCACGTGCCCCTCGCGCCAAGCGACCTCCACGTCGTCGACGCGATTGGACAGCGCGACCGCTGACTCTGAGCCGCTGGCACCACAGGAACTGGACGCCTCGCGCTTGACCTGAGCTCTAAGCCTCACCGCGTCGGCCCGGCGTTGCACTTGGGCGAGCTCGCGACCCCGGCGAGCTGCATGGGGCCCTGGCCCCATCCGTGCAGCCCGCGCCCGGCCTGATGCAGCGCGCGCACTCGGTCCGCTCGTTACAGGACTCGCGGCCTGGGGCCTGCCTGAGCACGGCCGCAATGCTCGACGGCAGGGTGAAGTTCACCTCTCCTGGTGCTTCGCCCTGCTCCTGCGCGTCGGCACGGGCCATGTCCTCGAGGAAAAGCTTCCTCGACGCCCACGGCGACGGACACCCTGTCTGGGCGACGTGCCGCCCCTGCGGAAGTAAAGCGCGGAGACGCCCGCTTCGCGGTTCCAGCAAACGCCTCAAGGGCCCCAGCGCCCATGTCGCGGAGACCCCTTCACACCATGCGGCACCAGAAGACCCCCACGCTCTCGCCCTCCCGGCACTTCCGTTTGAACGCGCGCCTAGGAGCCAATGCCAATCCGAGCGCCCGCGAGATGGCGTCGCTCGAAACACTTGCAAATGACCCAGATGGTGAGCTCCTCGAGGATGGCGGCGGTAACCTTTTTGGTCAGCCTCGACATCTCCTCTTTGACACGGAGATCGGCGCCCGCTTGATTACCGCAGTCTTGACAGGGGCGTAGACCTTAAGCACGGCTGTTGTGGACACGCCAGTTGCCCTCGTGGCAGCTCAGCAACGCTTCTCCCACTCCTGAGTCCAAGTAGAACTCCACGCGCTTTGATCATTTATCCTCCCCCCCAGCTCGGCGCACAAGTCAAAAAGTGGCGCCGCGCAGGTTGCAGTGACACTGCGCGTTGATGCGCTGACGTTGGTGCTGAGCCTCCAGGTGCCCGGGCCACT